AGCTAATAACTTGGAAATGTAGATTCGGAGGGTTAAGTTATTAGTCGATCTGGCGGGAACTATATTAGAAAAACAGCGGTGGAGTGCGTGGATATATATTTATAGTATTTCCTTACCTCTATCTTATCCTATTATCCGTATTAGGGTTAGGAAATAATTGAGTCTATTTATTGATAAAATGACTACAATCTCCATATTTAGCTATTACGCAAATATAAATTAGAGGGGTAATAATGTAATTTAACATTATTATCTATATATCTATATAATAAAGTTATAGGGTTTGAGTAAACTCTACAATTATTGACACGACCTATGAACATGATACCAACAATAAAATATCAGGGTTGTGTTTAGCCTAACTTGTTTCACGTCATTGGTTAACCTTAGCATATTAACAAGTCAACCCGTTAAACCAACCAATCTTATTTAATTTGTTAATATTATTGTGTTAACCCGTTTACATGAACCAACCTGCAGGTTTGTCGGCCAGGTAAACTACAGGTTAACCTTAGCATATTAACAAGTCAACCCGTTAAACCTATTAAGAACCTATTCTATTTAATCTGTTAATATTATTGTGTTAACTCGTTTACATGAACCAACCTGTAGGCTTACCTGCCTGGTAAACTACATGTGACCTTCAATTCGAAACTACAGATCAATACTCGAAGGAAATATCAGAAAGCTGCAGGCAGGATCGGACTCATGCACGGCCAATTCCTGTATCCTAACTAACGGTATATTCACATCTTTGTTCATAGGTGATTTCAGAACATTGTATTGCAATGACATTATATTATATATGCATCAGATTATGTGTGGAAATGATGGATGGTATGCATGAATTAGTTAGGGCTCAAATGAGACAAAAGAAATATAAAATAGAAAACAATTTTCTTTTTGTCTTTGAATTATAGGAAAATAACATTTTGTCCATTAATTAAACATGTCATCACTTTTCATCTATTAATTTGTCTGCAATGTAGCTTTTTTGATTACTGGTAACAATAGTATAACACCAAAAAAATTACTTCAAAGACAATTGAAGGTGTGAAAAGTGATTGCATACATAATTGAAGGACGAAAAATATTATTATATTTTACAATAATTTAAGAATAAAAATTGTCATTAAAATTAATGTATAAAAATATATCATTAAAATGGTTTAGTTGAAATCTTTTAAATGACAGTCACATTAATATATTTCTAAATTAAAAAAAAAATTATAAATACATAAAATCTATCATTATTTTAGTATAATGTTTATATACATTAATTTTTATATATATAAAATATATATATATAGAAAGAACATTATGGACTTGGACCTACTATATTGTTAATGAAAATACATATAATGTACATTTAGATTAGTTTATTTATAGACATTAATGTAGTTTAGGTTTAGGTTTATTTCCCAAAATAAAAAATAAAAAATAGTAGTTTAGGTTTATAGACATATAGAACTAATACAACAAATATTATAAAAATAGTACATGATGAGTGTTATTATGAACATATAAAAAGAATATTATGAACCTAGCTACTATAGAGTTAATGAAAATATAATTTGATATACGTTTAGTTTATTGTTTATATATGACTATGGAAATAGAACAAATATACATGATGAATGTTATTAAACTTGTGCGTCCATAGTATAATGTTTATGTACATTTAATTTTGTTTGTATGAGCATATTGAAGGAATATTATGAACCTATTATAGAGCGAATTAAAATCTATATGATTTATGTTTAATTTAGTGTTTATAAACATTAAGGTTTGATTTATTGATTGGCAATTTTAATAATGATATTGGTGCAATCACCTCCAAAACTTCCTTCTAAATATAAAATTAAGAATTAAAACCAAATATAGAACTTGATGACCAATGAAATTGCTATATGCACCTAACACATCCATATTTTTTTCCTATACATTTTTTTTTTAACATTTGAAAAATGATACTTAGTCGTTGCTCTGAACCCTAGATCCCTTCATGGACTTGGCCATCTTCTTCAACCTAGTGAAAAAATATGCCATTTTTTTCCCCGACGGAATTAACTCCCATGGCTCCTTCTCACCGAACACATCTTAGCTTCTTGATGAATCAGCGCTTCATCATCCACACTACTCCTCCCCGTAACGAAATTGAAGAGAAACTTGAGCACGTCGTAATCAAAAGGTTGAAAGCGAGAACCCAATGGAATCTCCATAACTAAAACTTGGAAATGTAGATTCGGAGGGTTACGTTATTAGTCTGGCGGAAAGTATATTAGAAAAAAATAGCGGTGGATCGGAGTGCGTGGATATTTATAGTATTTCCTTACCTCTATCTTATCCCGCCCATTAGGGTTAGGAAACAATTAAGTCTATTTATTGATAAAAAAAGACTTATTAAAGTGACTATAATCTCCATATTGAGCTATTACGCAATAATGAGTAATATAAATTAGAGGGGTAATAATGTAATTTAACACTATTACCTATATATCAATATAATAATGTTATAGGGTTTGGGTAAATCCGATAATTATTGATACAACCCGTTAACATAACACCAAGACAATAAAATACCCCGCACGGGATTAGCTCAATGGTTTAGTTGGCAGTATTTGGGAGTCGAGACCAAGGTTCGAACCTACCAGCATTTGGCATTGTCTGTTGAACCATTGAGTCATCGTGATTTACATCTTCCCACAATGTTCTGTCGGAAATAACCTCCAAAACTACCTTCTAAATATAAAATTAAGAATTAAAACCTAATATAGAACTTGACCAATGAAATTGCTATATGCACCTAACACATCCATATTTTTTTCCTATACATTTTTTTTAACATTTGAAAAATGATACTTAGTCGTCTTTGAGCACTCACTTTTGGTTCCTAATTACAATAAATCGGTGCATCTAATCCTTAAATATCAAAGTACAATAAGAAATTTAGTAGAAAATGAAGAAATAAATCCTTCAACTATTGGTGAAAGATAAGAACAATTTGATCTTCAAATTTTATAATGTTTCATTTACATACTCCAATTCTGTAAAATCGTGCACTTACATCTTTTTTACTACTAACAAAGATGTTATTGGTAAAAAATGATGACACAGTATTCTTTGCTTAGCTTTGCTTTTATTAACTTTTTCAAAATTTTTAAAACAAAAATTCTACAAAAGTCACTAAAATCTCTAAATTGAATATGCACTTTCAAATTTTCATTGATTTATATTAATACACATTATGGGAGGGAGTCGGGGTCCGCGTGCAGTTGGCGACCCGTGGCTTATTCCACTGGGAGGACGACCGAAGGGGGAACCGGCTGCAAAGCTACCGGCGAAACAGCCAGAAAATCTTTCCGACCCCTGGTTAGTAGCGGCACGGGAGGCGGAGGAGGTGGTGGCTGCGGTCGCTAAACGGCGCCGTGAGGGGGAAGGGAGTGGAGGGAGTAGGCCGGAAGGTGGTGATGGTGATGTGACAATGATCGATAGTTCAAAAAACTTGCATATGGCGTGTTCTGGATCCCAGACCCGCCCGACCCAATGAGTACGTTGAGCTGGAACTGCCATGGCTTGGGTAATCCATGGACAGTTCGTGAAGTTGTGGACCTGGTGTCCCGTAAGCAACCCGATTTTGTTTTTCTAATGGAAACCAAGGTTGGACGAGATCACGCTGAGCGTATTCGTGTCAAACTTGGCTTTGAAGGATTATTTTATGTTGATAGCAGTGGTTTGATTGGTGGTTTAGCATTGTTATGGAGGAAGAATAATACGGCAAGGCTCCTGATTTACTCAAAGAACTATATTGATATTGAGGTAACTATAACCGGTTTTCCAGTTTGGCGTATGACATGTTATTATGGCTTCCCGAAACGCACCAGGCGTAGCGAGTCATGGGAGCTTTTAAGGGCATTAGCAGGCAGATCAAATCTCCCGTGGATCGTTGTGGGGGATTTTAATGACTTGCTCTTTCAGTATGAGAAGGGGGGGGGGGGGGGGGGATCCGCATCCGAATAACCTCCTTCGCGATTTTGGGGATGTTATTGAGGACTGTGGCCTTGCCCAAATGCATATGGATGGATATCAGTATACTTGGGAAAAAGGGAAGTGAATGGTGAATTGGATTGAGGAGAGACTCGATAAGGTCCTACTAACGGATGAGCCAGAGTGACAAATTTGACAACCCGGAAATCTGATCACTCTGTCCTCTTTCTGGGAATCCATGAATCCTTAGGGAGGGGTGGAGCTGGAAAGAGGGGATTTCGCTTTGAGATGACATGGTTATATGATGAGGGGTGTAGAGGTGTGGTGGAGCAGTCATGGGAAGAGGGAAGGGGTCAGGGCTTGCAGAGTTGTATTGAATACTGCGGTGACCGATTAACACGATAGGGTGGAGATCGGTACCACAAGTTTGGTGAGCAAATTGTAAACCTCAAGAAGGACCAACAACGGTTGAGGGGGTGCACTGACCCAGCCTCACTCGCAGAGTTTCAGCGTTTAGAACAACTCTTAAGCCGCACTGAAACCCAGGAAGATGCCTACTGGAGAGAGAGCCAAGCAACACTGGCTGAAGGAAACTGATGCCAATACAAAGTTCTTTCACAGGTATGCTTCTCATCGTAAGAAGAAGAATACTTTATCTAGACTTATGAATGATAATGGGGATTGGGTGGAGGAGGAGGCTATGAAAAATGTAATTATGGAGTATTTTAATCATATTTTCTGCTCTGGAAATCCGGGACCTGGGGAGGGTTTCTTTGAAGGAATTACCCCCACGGGTTACTCAGGCACATAATGAATCGTTACTACGGCCTTTTGAATTTGATGAAGTAAAAACTACACTGTTTGCAATGTTCCCTGATAAGGCGCCTGGCCGGCTGGCCTTGATGGAATGAACCCGGGCTTCTATCATCATTTTTGGGATGTGGTAGGGGGGATGTCGCGAGCTTTGTGGTAGGCTGGCTTGAGTCTTGCCATTTTCCACATGGTTTAAACAA